CTGATGCCAGGGGCTTAAGTGGAGAGCAAATGTTTTGAGAATGATGAGGGCAATGAATGTACAAATGTGCTTTACACAATTGATATATGTATGGATTGTGATAAGAGTTGTATGAGCCCCTAATAAAACGATTAAAAAAATAAAGTTCACACACACACAAAAAGAAAGCTGATCCCTGTAAACCTTCACCTAAGTCACAATGAAAAGTTGTGTTCTTTTTAATTGACAACAAAAAGAGTTGAATCACTTCTTGTCTGTAAGGTCCAATCTTTTCTACATTTTAAGATTTCCTGTAGATTTTGGTGCATGTGTGTGTCTGCTCTCATGTCACGATGGATGGATTTCTCTAAGCGTCTGCTTTAGGGCAAAGGGTTGACACTTTGGGCACAGAGAATGAGTTGCATCTTGGCTATACTTCTGTTCAATACGTGGGACTTCGATTGGCTGCTAACATCCCTCTTCTATGTTTTCCCTTTATTCACATATTTCTATGAAATGATTAAAACAAAAAAACAGTAAACTCACTGCCATCGCGTTGATGCTGACTCATAGTGACCCAATAGGACAGGAGTAGCAATCTCATCTTCCCCCCTTAGTGCTGGCTTTGGCGTTAGCAGCCCAGCACGTCCGCACTATGCCCCAGGGCTCCCAAAAATTTTGCACTGACAGAAGCTTGCAGGTCACTCCAGCTGAGCTGGGGGCTGGCAGATGGTATCCCCTGGTGAAGGGCCTGCACCTCAACATAGGAAAGTCCAAAGAAGTCACCAGGTGAAAGGCAGCTTCGGGATATTGTTTGACTTATTCATTCAATGAACAATCTATAGAAGAGGGAGCCAAAGCTGAAGCCCAGAGGTGAACCAACATTGCCAAGGCCGCAAAGCTAGTAAGGTGCAGAATTCAAGTAGGATTTCAAATATCCGAATCTGGCCTGGTGCTGAAACCTGCTCTGCTGGGCTGTGTACATGAATGAGGCACTGCCCTTGCCTTAAGGAAATTTAGGGTCTGTAGAAGAGACGGTGGGCATGGGGGTGGGGGTAAAAGCAGAACTAATGGCAAAATTGAGGAGGGGCGAGAAATCCCATTGCCACTGAGTCCATTCTGACTCACAGTGACCCATAGGACAGAGTAGAACTGCCCCTGTGGGTTTCGGACGATGTAAATCTTTATGGGAGTAGAAAGCTTCATCTAGCTCCTTCAGGGCAGTTGATGGGTTTGAACTGCCGACTTTTCAGTTAAGAGGCCCAATGTTTAACCCCCCCACATTCCCAGGGCTTCTTCAACGTAGGGTAGATGAGACCAGATGCCAAATAACAAAATCATATGATAGATCTGGAATGTAGAGAAAGCTCTGGAAAGCAGAGCAGCCCCTGCGGGTTTCTGAGGCTAGACGTCTCTACAAGAGCTGAAAGCCTCATCTTCTTCCCTCGGAGCAGCCGATGGGTTTGAACTGCTGATTGTTGTGGTTTGTAGTCCAACACTAACCCAATATGCCACCAAGACTCCTTATATATATTAAGGTCAGTGGGGAAAAAAATCAATATGCATAGATATGGGCTGCTGATTGCAAGGTCAGCAGTTTGAAACCACCAGCTGCTCAGTGGGAGAAAGTATTGGGGGGAGGGGGGCTTTCTAGGAAACTCACAGGGATAGTTCAACCCTGTCCTAGAGGGTCATTATGAGTCAGCATCAACTCATTGGCAGTGAGTGGGTTTTTTTTGTTTTTGGATATAAGCTGAACTGCTTGGTGCTGCCCAAAGATGCTGTCAGTATCTGTGTACAGAGGGATGCTCCGGGCATTTTTCACATCCTTGCCCATCAATCCGTGAAGGATAACTGAGTTAATATCCTTGACATCCTTGAGCTCTTGGGAGAAAGGTCCTGTGTGACGCTTGACGTCTTATTCTCTGCAGGTGGACAGCAGGGACTGGGCCCTTAATGGAAACACCCTCTCCCTCGATGAAGAGACGGTCATTGACGTGCCTGAGCCCTACAACCACGTGTCCAAGTACTGTGCCTCCTTGGGACACAAGGCAAATCACTCCTTTACTCCCAACTGCACCTACGACATGTAAGTATGACACTGAACTTCCCGGCTGAGTCTCCGCGTCTGACCCCTGCCCCTGAAGGGGGAGCCTTGAATATGAACCTGGAATGTGAAGCTCTCTTCAAAGGCTGCTCCTCCAGATTAACCAGGGCATGGGCTTTAGGGGGACGACCTAAAGGTGCTGACCTCCATCCACTCTGGCCGGGGTGAGCTAGGAATTGAGAACGTGTGCGGGAGAGTTTGAAACGCTATGGATGTGGTCTGTCTGTTTTCCCATTCTGGAAGATGAGAGACAGTGTGCTTCCAAAAGATCGACAGGAGTCCACCTAGTGGAGAAGGGGAGGGAAGCCTTGTATGATGTGAGGAGGAGGAGGAGGAAATTGCAATCGTAAGCCTGGACTGTGAGGTCTTGGTATGGTCCAGGGACCGGTAAAGGAAATTAAGACCCCAAGCCCAGCCTGCTGCCGTGGGGTCAGTTCCCACTCATAACGAGCCCATTGGGCACAGCTGCAGGCTCTGTGGAAACGGGCTGCCGCACTGGCCTCACCTGGAGAAGCTGGTAGATTCTAACCTTTGGCTTCACTGCTAAGCACTCAACCACTGGGCCACCAGGGTTCCTTATAAAATCAAATGCTCCCCACTGTTTGGCAATGGAAGGGAATAAAATTCTGGTATGTGCTACATGAGTGAAGCTTGAAAAATATTATTCTGTGTCTCATACCGTTTCTCTGAAAGGGCCAGGAAAGGCAAACCCATAGGCCTAGACGGGAGCTTAGCGGCTGCCGGGGGCTGCAGGGCCGGGGAATTAAGGAGCAAGTGCTACTGAGTAGGGGCGTTTCTTTTGTGAATAATGAAAACATTCTAAAACAATAGTGGTGATAGTTGCACAACTTTTAAAAAAATCATTTTATTGAGGGCTCTTACAGTTCTTATCACAATCCATACATCCATCCATTGTGTCAAGCACATTTGTACATTTGTTGCCATCATCATTTTCAAAACATGTTCTTTCTACTTGAACCCTTGGTATCAGCTCATTTTTCCCCTCCCTTCCGCACCCTCCTTTCCTTATGAGCCCTTGATAATTGATAAATTTTTTTTTTCATGTCTTACACCAACTGCTATGCCCCTTTACCCATTTTTCTGTTGTCCGTCCCCAGGGAGGGCGTTATATGTTGATCCTTGTGATCAATTCCCCCTTTCTCCCCCCACCTACCCCTTACCCTGCTCGTATCCCTACTCTCAATATTGGTCCTGCGGGGTTTATCTGTCCTGGATTCCTTGTGTTTCCAACTCTTATCTGTAGCCATGTACATGCTCTGGTCTAGCCAGATTTGTAAGGTAGAGTTGGGATCATGATAGTGGGTGGGAGGAAGCATTAAAGGACTAAAGGAAAGTTGTATATTTTTTCGGTGCTATATTGGACCCTGACTTGTGACCCTTCTGTAAGGGGATGTCCCATTGTCTACAGATGGGCTTTGGGTCTCCACTCAGTCCTCCCCCTCATTCACAGAGATATGATTTTTGTTCTGGGTCTTAGATGCCTGATTCCTGACCCCATCGACACCTCATGATCACACAGGCTGGTGTGCTTCTTCCATGTGGGCTTTGTTGCTTCTCAGCTAGATGGCCGCTTGTTTATCTTCAAGCTTTTAAGACCCCAGGTGGTATATCTTTTGATAGCCAGGCACCATCAGCTTTCTTCACCACATTGGCCTATGCACCCATTTTGTCTTCAGTGATTGTGTCGGGAAGCTGATCATCACAGAATGCCAGAACAATTAGAACAAATTGTTCTTGCATTGAGGGTGTACTTGAGTGGAGGACCAATGTCCGTCTGCTGCCTTAATACTTAACATATAAATATATGTACATAAGTCTATTTCCCTATCATTATATATAAATATATTTACATATGTACATGCCTGTATTTAGATCTCTATAAATGTCATTTGCCTCCTAGTTCTTTCCTCTATTTCCTTTTACTTTCCTCTTGTCCCACCATCATGTTCAGCCTTCATTCGGGTTTCAGTAATTCTTGGCTACTTTGCTCTTGATCAAGCCTCACCAGGCATTCTGTGCCCTCCTTGCCATCAATTTTAGATCACTTGTTGTTCCTTGTCCCTGGGTTTGTTGGCAACCCCTTTCCTTTCACCCACCTCCCCCTCTCCCGTGCCTCCCCAGAATCGTTGGTCCCATTGTTTTCTCCTCCAGATTGTTTATCCCACCTATTTTATCTAGATAGACCTGCAGAGGCAATAATAAGCACAAAAACAAGACCAAGCAAAAGAACAAAAAAACAACAAAGAAAAGCCTATAAATAGTTCCCGGTTTGTTTATTGACCTTAATGAGTGTTTTTCAGTCAAGTCTGATGGGGTGCCACCTCCTGGCCTCAAAGTCTATTTTTGGTATTCTTCGGGGACTTCGTTGCTTTGCTCCCCTTGCTGCTCTGTTGCATGCCCTTAGTGTTTTGCCCCAATGTGGTGGGGTCAGAGCAGGCACAATTCCCGAACTGTGTCTCCAGTGTTGTCCCCCGTACCACTGTGGGTCAGTGAGGGATGTTGTGTCTGTGTCTCGTGGTTGGGCTGGACCTATGGTCCTCTCTGTGCATTGGCTGCTCTGAGCAGGAATGTCCCTGGGCTTGGTGGGCAGGTTGTGGTCCACACTCTCGCCTTCTCTCTTCATTTGCTCCTGTGTGCTCTGATCAGACTCACCACTCTCCCTGAGCTGTAGCTTCAATGCTGTCCTCTGAAGGGTTGCTCGACTCTATGAACTTAGTAGAAACTATTGAATTGTCTATTTTAACATGGTGAATTTGGGGATGTGTCAACTATAGCTCAGTCCAGCTAGTATTTTAAAATCTCAGAGAACCCTACTACCTTCTCAAGATGTGAGCTGCCCCTTCCAACTGTCCCAAGCCCTGGTGGTGTGGCAGGTTATGCGTTGGTCTGATAATCACAAGGTCAGCGTTCGAAACCACCAGCCACTCCTCTGGAGGCTTTTTACTCCCATAAAGTTCTATCTGCCTTATGGGACCATTGTGAGTCAGAATTGATGCCATAGCAGTGAATTTGTTTTTGTTTTTCCAACCGTTTGTTGAAACTGGGCTGGAAAACTTCCCTGGATGGAGAGCTGACTGTTATCCATGAAGGAATTTAGACCAACTGAAATAAATATTTGCAAATTAGCCTTTGGACTCTGATGGCTAGAAAATCCTCTCTATTGAGCCCAAATATCGCCCCCCCTACCCCCCTTAACATTCATTTCTGGGCCCTAATGATCTACTTTCCTGTGCACTATGTCCACATCTCTTCTCCCTGGAAATATGTGAGCCATTTCCACATGTTCCCTGATTGCTCTCCCCCCAAAGCCAAGCCGCTCTGGTTTCTTCCACTATCCCATGAAGCATACAATTGGGAGTCTCTGTGTCATGTTGGCTGTTCTCCAATTGCCCGGGGGGGATGCCACTTCTTCTGGGGGGTCGCAAGCTGTTATGCTCCATTAGAACTTGGAACCCCTCAGCCCTCTCGTTGTTTAGCATATGTGAAAAGAGAGCCTATACATTATGTCTGCAGACAAATTCCCAGGACTCGGAGACTCTTCACTAATGTCTCTCCGTGCGTCCTCGGGATGGTTTAGAAAGTGCTCCAGCAGCGACTTGCTCTTCGTGGCAGTTGATAACAAGCACGGAAGCGACAGCTGCTGTTTGAATGTGCGTGGCAATGGCAAAGGACCTGTGTCCTGTGAATGAAACTGACACTGTTATTCACGCCAAGGCTTTCAGGGCCAATGCGATTGAGGCCACGGTGGCAGCGTGCCGGTCTGCACGCAGCCTCGCAGCCCCTTAAGGTGGCAATGACTACCTGTAATAAACACGACACCAGCTACTCAGTTCTGTGCTTTCATTAGAAAGATATGACTTTGTTCTCCCCGAAAGGACGAGCGCACAGAATCCCAGAGAAGGTGCAGCTTGTGGGAGTGGGCATCTCTGCCTTCTGCAGCTTTCCCCTGGGACCCAGTGTGGCCAAATCGTAGTGATTGGGGGTACTGTTTGAATAATAGCCAAGTGCAAGAGGCCAACGCCAATTTGTGCTACTCCTTTGTTTCCAGAACCCTTATCTTGCTGCACGCATGTAAACAGGAGCAAGATCACAGCTCCCTCCATCCTTTTCTCTAAGGTCTGGTAGAAAGGGCCAAAGGGAGAGCAAGTCCCGGACACCTTCCCATTCCTGCCTCGAAGTGGAGGGAGCACACCTTCCCATTCCTGCCTCTAAGTGGAGGGAGCACACCTCCCCATTCCTGCCTCTAAGTGGAGGGAGCACACCTCCCCATTCCTGCCTTGAAGTGGAGGAAGCACACCTTCCCATTCCTGCCTCTAAGTGAAGGGAGCACACCTCCCCATTCCTGCCTCGAAGTGGAGGGAGCACACCTTCCCATTCCTGCCTCAAAGCGTAGGAAGCACACCTTCCCATTCCTGCCTCTAAGTGGAGGGAGCACACCTCCCCATTCCTGCCTCGAAGTGGAGGGAGGAGCACACCTTCCCATTCCTGCCTCAAAGTGGAGGGAGGAGCACACCTTCCCATTCCTGCCTCGAAGTGGAGGGAGCACACCTTCCCATTCCTGCCTCTAAGTGGAGGGAGCACATTGGTAAGGGGTCCAGCCACTGGGAGCAGAGGAGTGATCTGCTACTTGTAGTACAATTACCATTTACTAAAGCACTTACTTCCTGAGGATTATTCCAGAGTAGACTGCCTCCCCATAATCCAGTCTAGCGGTACTATGACTGCTTCCCAACACACAGGAGGAAATCCAGGCCCGGGGTCCCAGTGACTCAGTGTCCATACCCATAATGCCTTACCTCCACCTTGAAGGATCAGCACCCGATCTGAATGCCTTGAGTTCCCGCCTGACAGTCTGTCCATTGGTGCAAATGCCACGCACTGCCGCTGAGTCGATTCTGACTCACGGTGACCGTAAAGAACAGAGTAGAACTGCCCTGTGGGTTAACCTGTGGATCTTTATGGGAGCAGAAAGCCTCGTCGTTCTCGCACAGAGCCGCTGGTGAGTTTGAAATGCCAACCTTGTGATTAGCAGTCCAATGCATAACCCACTACGAGAAACTTCAGGGCCAGAAAATCAAGACGTGTGTGTGTGTGTGTGTGTGTGTGTGTGTGTGTGTGAGAGAGAGAGAGAGAGAGAGAGAGAATGTGAACCAGAGAGCCACTTTAGGAGTGATATTTTTTAATGGAATCATTGTTCAGAGACAACTCACTCACTGCCAATGAAAGACGGGTGGCTTCAGCCCACCCCAGCTCACCTCAGAAGAAAGACCTGGTGATCTGCTCCCATAAAACCTGCCATTGAAAGTCTTGGGGAGCCCGGTTTTACGCTGACATGCATGGGGCTGCTCTGTGTGCATGCCAGCTGGCGCCAGTGCCTGGTTCTCCAGCTTACCACACTCCCCATTGCTGTTGACCCTGGCCCCTGAGCGGAGTCGCTAGCGGTCGTGTCCAGCAGGGGGCGCGTCCGCACCCTCTGTTGACCAGCCTTTGCTTGGCGCCCCTGATCTCCGCCTGGGGAATGACTGTGTGAACCTTGCACTTTAGGTTTGTCCACCCCCGTTTTGGACCCATCAAATGCATCCGCACACTTCACGCCGTGGAGGCCGAAGAGGAGCTCACCGTTGCCTATGGCTACGACCACAGCCCCCCGGGGAAGAGTGGGCCCGAAGCCCCCGAGTGGTACCAGGTGGAGCTGAAGGCCTTCCAAGCCACCAAGCAGCAGTAAAAGGCTGGCGGCTCTTGGGTTCAGAGACCTGGAGGAGAAACTTGGATCTATGCACTACGTTTATCCGGCAACGGGACAACCAGGGACTGCTCATGCTGTGAGATCACATCCTCTCACCCCGCGTTTAGCAACGACTGTCTTGCATACTAACTAGATTTGACTGTATGACTCAGACCAGATTTAAAATTAGCTAGCCTTGCAACAACGTCCTACTGAGAGGTAGTGTCAAGCATTTGACATAAGACAGCATGATGTTTTTTCGTGGTTCAAGTCTAAATCTGTGCCGCACTCAGAGATGCCAAATGACTAGACTGAAGGGGGAAAAAAAGGGAAATGGGGCTTTTCAGTCGTTTTTAGGCAGTGGTTTTCCATGATCTCCCCCCACCCCCCATGGCCAATGCAAAATGTTATTATACTTGCATATGCGCCGTATGGAGAGGAGAGAATGACTACATTTTTATATTCTCTCAATGTAGTATCACTTGCCTTTTAACTTTTGATCTGTATCTTGCAATCAAATAGCTTTGTTTTGGGTTTTCCCCCTAGTGAACCGAAGCCTGTTCTTTGACTTATTTCTCCCCTCGATCCTATTCCCTTTCTTAGACGGCTTTTCTAAGAGAACACGTCCCACTGGATTGTGTGTCAGAGGCAGTGTGTAGGTCTCTCTGCCTCTTTTAGGTCAGTGTTTCCTTCTTACTGTCCTCAGATTTAAAAAAAAATCTGGCCCATAGGGCCAGTCTATTATTATTCTCGCATGTAAACAAAGATATCTTTGCTTTCAGATGTGAGAAGAAATGAGTTTACTTTGTTTGCATTAAGTTATGAAAGCGGTGTAATATATTTTTTCAGCAAGAGGGAAATTAATATTTTTGAGCAGTCACTCCGTGGCAATTCTTGCGATCTCTTCAGCAGGGCTCACAGTGCTTCTCCGTGGGCACACATTAAACGTACATTAACACAGGGCCATCTGGTGTGGGCCGCCATGCATAGAACTCAAAAGTGAAATCGCAACACTTGAGTCCTCGCGCAGAATTGACAGGTTGTTGCTTTTATTATTTTTTGAATCAGTACTGTTAAGGCAGACTTAGTGAGCACTAGCTATAAATCGAGCCCTAAGGAGAAAGTGCTTCTTCGCTGTCATTTTACAGCATTCACCAGCTTCTGCGCACTGTAAATTAAGAGTCACACCTGTCATCGCGTAAAGGCAACCACATCGATAGCATTTCTGCCGTTTGCAAGCCATGTGTAATCACAGTTGCCGAAATAGGAAGAAAACTCCTGTTTTTAGTTTAGCTCAGTAGGTCTGTAACATACCTGGATGCTGAGCTTCGGGGGAGCGCGGGAAGCGTGCTGAAGCAAAGGGCCCTGGCCGCATGGCAGGGAGCAGCCATGGGGAGCGGTGGGGAAACCTGCTAAGTGAGAGGCCGGTTGTTTGAGCACAGCAGCTGTTCCTGGAGAGAAAGGCGATGTGGCAGCCAGCACCCCAGAGCGCATCCTTGGGACCCCTCCTTCCCACAGACAGGGTGGCTACAAGCCTTAAACACCTTGAAGGCAATGGCCTGATGCCCACATACCACAGCACAGCGTCTCTGTCTCTGGGCGCCTCGAGGAGGTAGCTGGGTAGGTGAGCAGAGCAGAAGTGTCCATGGTGCTGTCTGTTTGGAAGGAGAGCGCCCTCAGTCAGACTGCATCAACTACTGGGCTCGAGTTGATGAGAGGAGGGTTCCCGGGACTGGGCAAAGAAAGGGTGGAGACTTGGGCAGACGGGAGAAGGCGGTTTCTGGTCTGGGGTACCTCCTCTCAGGAAGAAGTTACCCCAATGTTCTTGATCCAGAGCTGCTCAGAAGACTGTGTTGTCTTTGGGAGGCCCCTGAGTGTGGAACTCAGCCCTGCAAACAGGGAGCTTCCCCGGCTTGACTGGACTGCCCACACTCCCACCTTCTGGGCACTCACAGTGCAGAAGTGCATGGCCCGCCCACTCCGCAGCCAGGTAGCTGGCAGCAGTTACCAGAGGGCCAGCTAGGTCCCTGTTGGTGAGTGTCAGCGAATGACTCAGACATGGGAAGGGCTGTCAGGGCTTCCTGGAAGATCTGCCGTGAAGGGACTGGAGGGGATTGTTTTGACTCAAAAGATGAACAACCGAGCCCCAGGATAGGATCGCTTCTATTCTGTGGGACGGTGCCTTTCTGTAAAGAGTGAGCCGTGGGCAGTTTCTGGACTTGCTGTCTGCGGGGTGCTTTAACTCGTGTGTGCCCCCAAAGAAGGGAGTGCGTTCTCAGGAGAAAGAGGGCTGTCCTGACTCCCAGGCAGCAGGCTGTGGGGTAG